AAGGGGCTGGGGACCCGGACCCCCAGGATGGGGAGCAGGGAGGGGCTGGGGGCCCGGACCCCCGGATCCCATGAGAAGGGGCTGGGGACCCGGACCCCCAGGATGGGGAGTAGGGAGGGGCTGGGGGCCCGGACCCCCGGGTCCCATGAGAAGGGGCTGGGGGTCCGGGAGCAGGGGCTGGGGCCGCGCGCAGCCCTCACCGTCGGCGCTGATGACCAGCGGCTCGCTGCGCTGCGAGAGCACGTACGGGGAGGACGGCGTGTGGTAGTAGCAGCTGTAGGTGCCCGGCGCGCGGGCGCCGCGCAGCGGGAAGTCGGCCCAGGGCTGCGCCGAGCGGCTGTACTGCACCGGCGCCGCCTCGCCCACGCGGTACAGCGCGAAGCTCATGCCCCCCAGGCGGCCCGCGCAGCGCAGGCTCACGTTGGCCCCGGGCGCCACCACCGGGCCGGGCAGCGCCACGAGCGACGGGCGCGGCAGCTCGTCTGCGAGGGGCACGGACGGGGGCGAGCGCTGGTGCGGCCCTGCGCCCCCGCCCCCTTCCCCGGCTTTCGCCCCTCTGCCTCCTCCCCCTCCTCCTGCCGCCTCGGCCTCCCTCCCTCCGTCCCTCCCCCTCGCCTCCCCGACCCCCCCTAGTACACCCTCCCCCCTCCCCGCCCTCAGTCTGTCCGTCCCTCTCAATCTCTGCCTGTGTCTCCCTCAGTTTCTCTGCCTCCTCGTGGATCTCTGTGCCCTTTGCGTCCTTGTCCCTGTGTTCCCCCTGTGTCTTCGTCCCCAAGTATGCCTTTCTGTGTTCTCCGCATCTCCATCTCCCTGGATGTCCCCTTTTCTCTCTCCGCTTGTTGCCTCACCAAAATTCTCTGTGTTTTTCTCTCCCCCGTCCCGTGTGTTTTACTGTCCTGAATCTCAGAGGCAGTGTCTCCCCAATATTTTCTCCTTGTGGTTCGGGGTTTCTCCCAAGGTTTCCTAACCTCAGCACTGGTGACATTTTGGATAAATCTGGATAATTCTTTGTTATACGGGAGGAGGGTGCGGGCTGCCCCGTGCTTTGCAGCATCTCTGGTCTCGCTCTACCCACTGGATGACAGTAGCACACCTTTCCCCAGTCACGGCGACCAAAGATGTCTCCGGATATTGCCAAAGATCACCTGGGGGGCACAGTCCTCCCTGTTAAGAATCACCCCTGCTTCTCTGGTTCTCTTTCTCTCCCCATGTAGCTCTTTTCCTCTGGGTCATTGTACAAGCCTGTCTTTATGTCTCTTTCAGTTCTCTCTCCCTGTATGTCCATCCTCCTTTTCCCTCCCTCATCCTGCCCCAGTGTCCCTTCTTTTTCCCCGCCCCAGGACCTCACCTGTCACAAGCAGTTCCAGCGTATCACTCGGGTGGGACCAGACACCCAGACCCCAGCCTAGCCTCCGGTAGCAGCAGTGGTAACTGCCCCCCTGGGCTGGGGTCACCTCCTCCAGGAAGAACTCTGCCAGCTCCATGGACACGCCCCGGTACAGCACAGGGATGATCCTTCCAGACTTGAAGAGTGCAAACCTCCAGGCAGGTTGAGGTGCCCGGCAACTCAAGGTCACGTTGACCCCAGGGGTTACAATTGCGGCAGGCTGAGCCCCTAGCCACGGCTTGGGGTATGAGGCTGGGGGGACTGAATAAACAGGGCTGCCTGGGTCCCTGGGCTTCCTGAGAGCCCGAGGAGATGGGGTGGGAAGAGAATCACCTGGGGCAATCACTGCTTCTTTCTCATCCTCGGTTTCCTGCTTGTAAAATAGGACGCACTGACTCCAATCAAGGATTGTCAACACTAGCTACAAGTCAG